AGGAGCAGGAGGCAGATAGGTGGGGCCGAACAGATTATAAAAAGACCTGCAAACCACTCCCTCAGCCCTTCTTCTTCTTCACCCAACACCTGGAAGCATGGGATCACCTTTTCCCCCAAGACTTCAAGCCATGCGGTCCTGTCCACCATTAAAACATCTTTCTAAGCAGCCTCCATGCCTCCAGTGTCTTTTTCCCCACTTGGAGCCGAACCCAGGAGGACATATTAAAGACACAATATTAAAAACACAATATTAAAAGCAAAACACAACTGCAGTTTAAGAGCATTTCAGTAAAGCACAGGACCATTGCTTATTGGGTAGTGATTAGGACTGAACATGGGGGACACGGTGGCTCAGTGGCTAAGATGAGATAAGCTTGTCAATTAGAAAGGTCGGCAGTTCGAATCCCTAGTGCCATGTAATGGAGTGAGCTCCTGTTACTTGTCCCAGCTTCTGCCAATCTAGCAGTTTGAAAGCATTTAAAAATGCAAGTAGAAAAACAGAAACCACCTTTGGTGGGAAGGTAATAGCGTTCTGTGCACCTTCGGCGTTCAGTCATGCCGGCCACATGACCACAGAGACATCTTTGGACAGCACTGGCTCTTCGGCTTTGAAATGGAAGTGAGCATTGGGAACGACTAGCACATACGTATGTGCGAGGGGAACTTTTATCTTTTACCTTTAGGATAGAACACTTCCAATATGAAAACCAAAAGTGCTTCAGGCATATGGGGGGATCTTCAGAGCACCTCTTTGCCACTGCTTCAGTAGCGACTTCTTTTCCTAGGAGCTCCATAGTGCAAACCAGTAACAGCTCAACCCAGAAAAAGCTGCTTTGGGTTGAAAGAGCTGTAGAGAATATATTTCTGCTTCCCAATCCAAAGCATTGCTCTGTCCTAGTAGCAGAGGTTCCCCTGCATTCCAGGAGCTTGTTTCAGCCCAACCCAGGATTGCAGGTTCTGCATGCAGCCGAAGGCCTTTTGCCTCTATCTCCAGGAAAGGTGACAGGGGACCCATTGCACAGGGCTCTCCTTGAAATGCAGAATTATAATAAATAAAGCATTCCGATTATAAAGCACACTTTCCAAAGTTTTCTGAATGTGTAACACTACCTTACCTTTTCTCCTTTTACACCAGCAATACCCTGGAAAAGAAACAAAAAGTGTTTATGGATATAGTATAGTCTTAGTTCTGATATGCTATTCTGGCTAGAGTGAATTGACTTAGATTTGTTAAGTAGTTCATTTAAATAAATACATTTAAGTAAATGATTAGTTTGGAATTTATGCTCCCCCAACATGCCTCAATATATCTTCTCCCATGTCTTGCCCTCCTGTTTGGTCCCTGGCTTAGACTATACACTTAAGGCTGTTACTGTGGAAGAGTCATGCTTTGCAAGCGATTCCCATCTGATTTCCAGCAGGTTTTCACATTTTCATTTTTTGTTTCAGTGCTCAGAAAATCTTTTCTAATTTCTCTACTGAATTCACACAACATTTCATTTTCTTTCTATCATTCAGTATTTCAGTTGGCACTTTTTGGGACATAGTTCATGTCTTTCATCAATGCCATTGGGAGGGAAGTTCCCAGTGACGTGCAGTCAGGGGAGGCAGGGCCTCACCACTGTCACGATGAAAAGAAAAATTAAAAGGAAAAAGGCTAAGGTAGTTGCTGCCAGAGTCACAGTGGATGACTCTGCTTAGTGCTTAATTGTTTTAAAAAGCCTCTAAAAAGTGCCCTCTACAGGAGGAGGCGGGAGAACCATGTGCCTCATTTAGTCTATCTTTATGATCACTCGAGTAGAGTTAAGCAAGGGTTAAAAGCCGAAAAATTCCTTATATAAATGAGGCACTTGGTTCTCTCGCCTCCTCCTGTAGAGGGCACTTTTTAAAGAGGCTTTTTTAAACAGTTAAGCAAAGTCATCCATTGGGGACACTGTCAGCAGCTAATCCAGCCTGACCTCAGCAGGTCTTCCCTTTTTCCTTTTACATTTTAACATTTTCATCATGGCAGACAAGAGCAGAGTTGAAATCCTCTGTAAAACAGCTGTGGTGGGAGGGAGGGGGAGGAATTAGAAAAGATTTTCTGAGCACTGAAACAAAAAATGAA